TGGTCATAGAAGAGGAACTATCCATTTTTATAGAACATATCATCACATGATTGTATAAAAAAGGGAAGTAGTATGGTCGTTTTCAGCCTCATTTGCTATCATTTTCTGTAACGTTTTAAAAAAAAATCTTGTTAGTATTGATGTTTGTCAAGTCAGAATGTATCGCTAAAATTCTAGCGAATCAATATATAATTATAGAGAGTTCTGCCACCTACCAGTTATATGGAAATAACAAGAATAATTTTGTTCAGGGGAACTAATGATCATCTTTATCATTTGCTTAATTAATAAAGTTATATTTTAGTACTTATTTTCTATTGTAGTCAATTTTCTTATTTTTACTTTCCTGTATATTGTTGATGTAAAGTAATCTTAGTTCATTTGAAAAATAAATGAAACTCAAACAGTATTGTAAACCAACTTTGTCTAAGTTTTCAACCTGCTTAATAGTGTAATTGAATAACTATGAAACAAACTGTTAACTGCAGTTATGATTCATTTCACTAGAAAATTTCTACCCATCAGAATAATGAAAGATCTTCACTTGATATTGATTTGCTCGTATCTTCCCACTAAGGTTTAAGACTGCAATTGATCAATCTGTTATTGGCATATATGTATACTGTGCGTTTGCCTCGATATTGCCTTAATTCACAAACGTTTATAAGCAAAGACTTGCAGTGGAATCCAGGACGCGCGTTTTGTCTTAACGCGATGGCATTTGAAGCGAATGGTAGTGGATTCGAGCCCCAGAGTGAACATCAACTCTGAGATGCAGGTACATCCAACTGATGAGTCCCACCTAGGACGAAAAGCACGTTCTGGATTCCACTGCTAGCTAATATCTATCTTTGCTTATAAATGAAAGATCTTGTACTTAGTTTCATGTAGGATGTTGGTTACTTACTGTAAATATAGTAGAAGTGACTTTACAATATATTTTTCAAGTTTCTTATTTAATCTAGATTTAGTCCATAAATTTCAAGTAATCATAAACGTGTACTATTCGTTAAATTTATCTATAACATAAGGAAGTATTTATATTAATTTCTGTTCGGAATAAAAGCTGAAGAAACATGAATAGGACATTTTATTATTATAACTAACTTATATCATTGCTGCTTATTTATTAATAGGCAATGCTGGTTAATTATAGTTATATAATCAATGGAACCTACAGACTGGGAATAATACTGTTGAATATTACATTACATTTTGATCTTTATATGTCACTAAGTATGGAAGTATTGAGAACTGCTGTTAGAATGTATATTGATTACACGAAAAACTTCATCCTATTTCAATCAGTATTCACGAGATTAGTGGTATAATGTGACAATAATTTTGTCATCGTAAAAATTAGTATAAAACATTTGTAATGATTAATGTAAAAGAAAGACAAGGAATAACATGACGATTTATAAAATTGAAGATGGTAACAAATACTTTTATGGATAAACTGAGTATGATAAACAAAGATCTTTTTCTGTATTCTTGAATAATATTCATAAATGTTTATTAATTCCGACTAAGTCTTATTTGGAAACACATCAACCTTGAGTGTTTTCATGAACGTATAGTCGTATTTTACGAGTATTTAAAGATAAATGGCATAAGAAGACCGATGTTTAAAATTAAATGTACACGCTTTTTTTGATCAAGAATAAAGTAATGTAAACATTAAATGCGTGCTTACTGCACCAATGGTATTTCGTTGAACGAAATATAATTAGAAGTGTAAATTCACTAATACATTTCAAGACCTTCTAGCTTAACCAACTAATTTGCAAGCTAAATGATACACGACAAATTGTCTTGTTTAATTCGTAGATAATGTCAATAATTTAATGGATTTTAAATTATAACTACCTATTATTCAAAGATATTCATGAATGTGCCAAACTTCAGTGGTAAATTTCATGTGTTTACAAATGGCTTTAAATGATATTATGTCAGATTAATAATGATCAAATTATCTCTGACCTAAATAGGAAAAATCATAATTTATATTAACAAGTTATAAATCATTTGATGAAAGTTGATTTCAGTGAAAGGTTTGTTCTATTACCTAAATAGATTTAATTTTATGTTAATTTACTTACATTGAAAGCTTTGTAAAAGTACTTTTGTTTTTAGGTGGCATTCTCTACAATTTGATAATATTCGAGTACTGATAAGTAAATGCATATTCAGACAAAAAAACTTTTCAGTAAGTACGATGATTACATCGTCACTCAGCTGATTTTATTACATAAATAATACCACCTTCAAATCAAGGAAACACTACAGACATTTTAGAAGAATTATATTCATGTGGTCCATAGTTGACTTCCTGAAATTCAAGTAGAAAGTTTCGCCCAATGAAGTACATTGTGGCAGTCATAACAAAATACAATCAATAATTTTCGTGTTATGCTGTGATTATAATAAAGTTGGAAATTCAGATCACTTAATTTTAACTCACTAGTGTGGAAGTAAAACACTAGCCATAAAATCTGAATACTCTGGTTTTGAAACCTGAGGGGATTTTAAGTGTGTTTTATTGATAATTATACTAGAATAAATGACTCTCGAGTGTTCCATGGTATTTAATAAATGTTCGACAGATTTCATCATGCAATGTGTATCACCTATAAATCTAATTAAATCTGTTATTAAGAAATAGACTGTTTACTTTACTTTAAATAATCCTTTTGTGGAAATCATGGTATGGAGTTCAGCGTTAAGTATTCTAATATATTCCTTGAACGTTTATCATGTCAAAATTTCAAATTACTAAGACTAAATGACAAAACATCAATATTTATTATGTTGCAGATTCTATCAAACCGAAAAGCATTAAAATTCAAATAAGGTGTTTACTTTAAAAGTTATTAGTGAGTTACCTTATCTTCGTGAAACTAATCTTACAAATATTTTCCACGGTCACAATTTACTAGAGATTACTTAAAACTAATCACTTTTTATGCTGATAAATATATATAAACCACAATTAAATTAAAGTCAGTTAAGCAAAGATGAATGGTGGCTAACAGTGGAATCCAGGACGCACTCTACTTCTTTCTATTTGGGACTCGTCAGCTGGATGTACCTACATCTCAGAGTTAATGTTCACTCCAGGACTTGAATCCAGTACCGTTCGTTCCAAATGCCAACACACTGTCTACTTAGCTGCTGAGTGCTGATAGCCGCTCGCTTATGTGATTGGATGAAGTTTAAATTCACCTGGTGTAGTTTGCTTGTATCTTCCGACTGTTGTTTAAAACTGCAATTGATCAGTCTCTTGTTGGTATAGGTGTACCTTTCCACCATCCATCTTTGTTTATAATGTTTGTGACTGAGTACAATATTGAAGCAATACGCACACTATGCATATGTTCCCAATAAGATATGATAAATAAACAAACAAAAAACTTGTTTCTTTTATTCACTCTTCATAACATACCTATGACAGCATTTAAAATATTTTGACAAATTTATCCTTGAACGTGTTACATTTTCACCAGCTTCATAATTTATCATACATGATGCCATTGAATTACATTTCTCATCTCTATTCTCATGTGTAATTACAGTCATAAACATCAATAGGAAGATTCAAATAAACAATACCAAGTGAATTTAAAAGTCACTTAACTTACATGTTTACTATTAACTTACTATCAAAACAACTTTTATATTTATTTAACCATCATTTCTTTTTCGTATTCATTCCAAGCGAATTACATCATTTTAAATTCAATTTGAGGTCAATTCAAATAAATAGTAAACATTTATTGTTTGTTTTTTATACATTATAGCAACAAAGTCTTTTCTGTTTATTTTTGTTTACTTATCTAAATTAATTCTAACTTTAAAATAACAATATGAGCTCATGGTAACAGAAATAATGTATACATTGTGTTCTATTGTTTTTTCACCATTATTGACTATATACTAGAAAGCGTCATTTTTACAGCTGAATATACATTAATTTATTTTAATTATTGTGACTGGCATCAACTGTAATTGTCATTCGGAATTAAATGGTTTCAAATCGGTAAAAATATGTATTATGAGTGTATGGAATAAGACTTGTAATTTGTCTATATATTTTACTATTCAGCTAAATATGATTATGTCCTTATGTTCATTTGTCTTATCATCACTATTTTGTTTAAATGATGTTGGTTTTAACCTGAATATTATAATTAAAATAGATTCACTACTACATCAGAGTACACCATCCGACCTTATTTAAAGTTTTGGTAGTTTCATTCTCATTCTATTGTTTTCATCCAGTGTTTACTTGATATTTCTTTCCATGCCTTTTGAATGTTTTCTTCGGTCGACTTCCTCAAATATTATCGATTAATGTGTTACATGTGAATTAATAATTTAGTTCTATGCCACTATATCCTACGACTACAAAATAGTCTGAATATCATCATTTTGTAGATTCCTTCGGTTTACATTATCCTATATCCAGTATTCTGATATTTTTAGAATAGAATTTGGGACTGAGAATGATATATGGTAATAAGAATGCTTGGGATGACAGAGTCTACAATGCAGTCATAAAGATGGATAGATTCGTTTTGGTTTTTAATAACTGAATGATTCACATCTATATAAAATAGATAACATAGCAGCAACAATGTCGTATTGTTATTAATTGTTTATTTTAATAGTTGAGGTCGTGAGTCAATTGAAGCTAAACCACCACGGAATATATGGAGGCACTGGATGGCCGTTTCGTTCTACTGTCAAACTCCTCAACAGTGTGCATCCACGATTCCGCGTCACACGGTTCGAACCCAGGACCTATCACTCTCGCGCACGAGCGCTCAACCACTGAACTACTGAGACGGCACTCAACGGTGCTGACTCATGATCTCGAATATTAAAATCACTATAATAACCACAAAACTCCTTCTAATATTAAGCTGTTTGTCTCCTACACGATATCATCAATAAACAAACAAAAAACTTGTTTCTTTTATTCACTCTTCATAACATACCTATGACAGCATTTAAAATATTTTGACAAATTTATCCTTGAACGTGTTACATTTTCACCAGCTTCATAATTTATCATACATGATGCCATTGAATTACATTTCTCATCTCTATTCTCATGTGTAATAAATTTTCTAAATCCATATTGCTGTTGTTGTTGTTGTTCTGTTTGTACATGAATTGATTGTTGATGACCGTGAATTTTATGAATTGGATAATAATCTGGTGGATTATTAAATAGAATATTACTAAAATCAAAATCACTATCACCTCTTTTACATTCACATAATGATGTTGATGATGAATTAATACAAATATTAGGACAGATATACTGATTATTCTCTAATATATGCTCACAAGTTCTATTTATTACTTGTTCATAGTTTACTGGTTGAGCAGATGGAATATTTTTAGTTGAAGTAAATGTATTTAATTCGGTCATTTGATTATTACCATCCGTATTATTATTATTATTATTATTATTATTATCATTACTAGGATTACTTATATATATGAAATGCGGTACTGTTTGCATAGATGGTATTGTTTTACTTTGTAACTTACACAATGGTAATGTTTTACTATCGCATTTGATTATTTCAGGATAAAATTCATGATTTGTATTTACTTGACCTGTTTCATATCCTATTGTATTGAATGGATCTTGTGTTTTGGAAATAAATGGAGTTTTAGAACAAATAGATGTATTTGTATGTTGTTTCTTGATAGTAGCCGATTTCAAAGTCAACAATTGATTTATGGTTGTATCATATAAATATGAGTCATTACATATTGGATTAGATACTGATTTATCTACAGAATTAGATAAACTAGAATTCATTAAATTTACATTTGATTGATGATTACTTGGATTCAAATGAAACTCACATGTAAGATCGAAATTCTGAGGACATTGATTATTTGCAGCAATTTCAGTAGACTTTTTATTGAACTTCATTGATAGTGTATGAATGGAATCATAAAAATAATGATCATAATGATTTGTTGAATATTACTTCTTGGAAGTTTATATTTCATTATGATATTATCAATATCATAATTGTATAAATGAATAACTTTCAAGATTTATATAACATATGAAATTTCTTGAAATTTGATTAGTTAACAGACTCAACCAATCAACTAACTAATTTAAAAATCAGTCTTAGTATTTAAGAACAAGTAGGCTAATGTGGTTGATAATAAACATACATGTAATAAAAGGTCATTAGATTGCAGTTATAGACATAAACTTATGCATTACTAATAATTTTGATGAAATCACTCCTTTTTATAGAATCATTGTAATCTGATTCTTCTCGGTTTAAAAATATTTCTTTTATTTATATTTTATACTTAACAATGCATGTTTTTCTTATTTCCTTTATCTATTGGATTATAATCTTATATAGTGACAGTATCAGTTTATTTAATAAGTTCGAAATAATAAAGTGTTTTTTTTCTTCTTCTGGTTATCAGTATTTACATTGAAAAAGAAATCACTTGGAAACTAAAAATCGACCACTATGATTCAATGCTATAAAACATTAATATATAAATATGAACATTTAAAAGTAACATGAATTTTTTATGAATACTTCTATAAGTATAGTGATATACAAAGATCAAATATAGATTTTAGGACAAATATTGATTTTTTTGTTCTAACATATAAATGATACACCAAAAACTTATAAGAATAATAGATTACAAAACAGTACATAGGAGATAATATTCAGAAAATGTCAAGAAAACAATGTATCAACTCTGAAATGCAGGTACATGCAGCTGATGAGTTCCAAATGGGACGAAACGCGCGTCAAACTGGATTCCACTGCTAGCCACTATCCATCATTGCTTACAAATAGCTTGTGAATTAAGGTAATATCGAGGCATATGCACAGTATGCACATATGCCAATAACAGACTGATCAATTGCAGTGTTAAACCTCAATGGGAAGATACAAACCGAACAATACCAAGTGAATTGAAATTCACCCCATTGCACAACCAAGTGGCTATCAGGACTCAGTAGCTGAGTGGATAAGGCGATGGCGTTTGAAGCGAACGGTACGGGGTTCGAGTCCCACAGTGAACATCAACTCTCTGAGATGCAGGTACATCCAACTGACGAGTGCTAAATAGGACGAAACGCGCGTCAAACTGGATTCCACTGCTAGCCACTATTCACCTTTGTTTAAAATGCTTGTGAATTAAGTCAATATCGGGACCATTCGCTGAATGCACATATGCCAATAAGACTGATCAATTGCAGTCGTAAACATCAATGAGAAGATTGAAGTAAACAATACCAAGTGAATTCAATTTATATATGATATTAAATATCGTTTTCTCATTACATTATTAACTTGTTAAAAGTGCATTACTTACAGACGGAATTTCAGAGTTTATCTCCAATCCATAATTTACATCATGCACTGTTTATAGCTGGACAACAGTTGAAAGATAGGATTCAATGAACAGATGTTTCTTTCTCCATGATCTACCAGAGGTCAATCTTGAAACCATCGGTCTTGGCTGTCAGTGAATAAACTTTAGAAATCTGATTAATCATCTTTTTTTGCATACTTACTTACTTACTTACTTACGCCTGTTACTCCTCGTGAAGGAGCATAGGCCGCTCACCAGCATTCTCCATCCAACCCTGTCCTGGGCAAACCTTTCCAGCTCCGTCCAGTTGTAATTCATCATTTTCATATCTGCTTCTATTATCCGACACAATGTGTTCTTTGGTTTTCCTCTTTTCCTTTGGCCTTCAGGGTTCCAAGTTAGGGCTTGCCTCGTGATGCAGTTTGACGATTTGCGTAATGTATGTCCTATCCATTTCCATCGTCTTTTCCTAATTTCTTCTTCAGCTGGAAGTTGGTTTGTTCTCTCCCACAGAAGGCTATTTCTGATGGTATCCGGCCAATGGATGTTGAGTATCTTGCGTAGGCAGCTATTTATAAATACTTGTACTTTCTTGATTGTGGTTGTTGTAGTTCTCCAAGTTTCAGCTCCATACAGTAGAACTGCCTTGACGTTCGTATTGAAGATTCTCACTTTGATATTGGTTGGAAGTTGTTTTGAGTTCCACATGTTCTTCAATTGTAGGAATGTGACCCTTGCTTTGCCGATCCTCGCCTTTACGTCTGCATCTGAACCTCCTTGTTCATCGATGATGCTTCCTAGGTATGTGAAGGACTCTACATCTTCCAGAGTTTCGCCATCAAGAGTGATTGGATTGCTGTTCTCCGCCTTGAATTTGAGGACCTTGGTTTTCCCTTTGTGTATGCTGAGGCCTACTGATGCAGAGACTGCTGCTACACTGGTTGGTTGCATACTTTAGTTAAAAATTATTCGACCATCATTCCCTATCACTGCTAAAATATGTTTCACTTCAAACGCGCTTAATTTCACTAGAAACTTGTTCACACTGTAACTTCATAAATTATCATCTTAAAATTGGTCACTGTTGAGAACGTGATCATTACCAGTTCAGAACGTTCATTAAAACGTTGTTCACTCTTCCACTGAAGTTAAAGATTTATCATTTTTGAGAATGTGATAAAAACAAATAGTTTAACCAATAATAAATAGCATGTTTTAAAATCACTTTAATCATACAATTAGTTCTAGAAGGTTGTGTTTCTGTTTGCTGATATTTCAAAACATCAGTAACCCATAATAATTAAATTATTAGCCTTTTAAAGTATAATTTCAGAATGATTTTCAGGAATATTTAATTTATAATGACCAGAAGAATTGTAAATCTCGAGTAAATTTAACATTTAATGAACAATTGATCTACCCATTCCATTTCTATGTATGGAAAAGAGAATAGTTTCTTTTGATTCACGATCATAATAGAATTTGATTGTTACGTTTATTACTTTACTCAGTTGCAATTCACTTAACATAACTTTGATAGTCTCATTGTATAATAATATTTATAGTTAAACTAAACGGGGAAATACAAGTAATTCGGACAAATTACAATCCTTTTATTATATCCCTAACCCCACTTACAAAACAAAAAAAATTCAATATATTTATCTATAACAAGATTTTCTTTTCTTTTTTCTTTATTATTTCTTGACCTAAAGAGTATCATTCTATGTATTTCTATGAGAAATTTTAGTATTACTTATTTTTGTAATTGTATTCTAGTTTTCTAAACAAAATTCAATTTTAGGTCAATATTATCCTCTTATAAATGAGTTTATGATTATTATTATTATTATATTTACTTTGATTTTAACACTATGTAACTAACTAACTAACCAGATATAAACATTTGTGTAATTTCAAATGGAAATAGTTATTAAAAAGTTAATCATTTTTACTGTATAATGAAACAAGTAATAATAAAACATAGAACAATGTGGTATAGCTTTATGAATTCATTAGAAGTAATCGGTTAAAGTACATTTGGTTATAAAACAAGAAACCTAATTCACTTGATGTTATTTTACTTTTATCCTCCTATTGTTATTTAGGACTAAAATTGATCAGTCTTTTGATGTTATATGTGCATCTGTGCGGATTGCCTCGATATTACCTTAAGTCACAAACTATTTAAGCTACTAAGTCCCAGTAGTTAAGTAGATAATGTGATGACGTCTGAAGAAAACGGTACTTGACTCGAGTCCCGGAGTGAACATCAGGTACTTCCATCTGACGAGTCCCGAATAAGACGAAACGCACGTCCTGGATTCCGTTGCTAACCGCTACCAATTTTTGCTTAAGAAACATAATGTTTAGTTCACATCTCTTTATGACTAATATATTAATTTTACTAGCGCACATGTTAAAGTTTCTTACCACATCTTCGAAATATTCATAATAGGTTCAATAATATTTTTGAACTGCAAAATGACAAGGAACAGAATTTATGTTGTAAAAGGAGGTAACAGGTAAGTGGAATGTTGATTTCATGTAATAAGTTACAAAGCACTTAAATAATACATGTAAATAGCTTTCAATCATTTATTTTCATCTTTTGATGTGTTCTATGGTTTGAACTGCCACGTCATCTGATCTCTACATGATGTGCCAACGCTATGCTTTCGTTGTACTGAAACTTTTTGCTCTGTCCGACAAATTTGAGGGCGCGTTTTGCACAATACTAATTACAAATGATCCTGTGAGTAACGTCTACTTCAATGTTATTTCATTATTTTTTTTGAAAGTAATCAGCTTACTGAAGATTCTTTTGTTAGCTGTGAAACCTAATACTGTGACTGAGTACTGACCTAACAGTATTTTACTTCAATTGATCCGTATTAGGAAAAGACAGATAAGATAATTAAGGATAATTTAGTTTTTGTCATTGTCTCATTAAAAAGATAAAATATTTGTCTTGACCTAGCAGCTTATACAAGCATTATTATTCTAATGAGGAAGAAATAATGATGATGATCATTCCAGGTACAGCTGAAAATAATAAATATAATTCGTTTAAAAAAGAACTAGTCCTTGTTCTATTCATTAAATTATAGTCAGTTAAGTATTTATAAACGTCAATGCAATCACTTCAAGGGATTCATTAGGATTGCTGAATTTTGTAGTTTATATCAAATAAGTGCAAATACACATCCATAACTAAGATCAAACTTAGAATCCTCATGTGTTTGGGTTATCGCTTAAGATTTAAACAGCTGAGTTAGTACCTAACGGTTTAGAATTCTGAATTCTGTCTATTCACGATAGTGTACAATCATCTTCCAATCCCGTCGGTCTGAAACAGTCTCACACCCAACATGATTAAACTTGCCGTTGCTTTCTACTAAAACTTTGGAAATCGCCGCTAAAAATTATTCACTAGTAACCATATTATTATCGATAGTATAAAGGATTTTTGTGGATTATGCTTACTTCTGAGAAGCACTGTTATAAAATAAAAACCCCTTCAGAGCTTTCTGATTTTCAGTAGTTGTCTAATCAACCTTAGTTAGTGATATCAACAATGACAATTATCATAATCACTTTATTTGCAGTTCTAAACTCAAATTCTGTATTTTAAAAGATATACTTAATAGAGACCTGGTTATTCCCTTTGA